TATATTATATATTTCTTTTACATTTTGTTGTCTCCACAATGAAACTCCATGCATTGGCTGGGAGATCCAAAAAAAAAAAAAAAAAAAATGAACGTAATGACAAACGGCGGAGTCAGATGTGCAAGTTGAAAAGATCACTACCCACATTTCATACGTGCATATCCGTGAATTTTATTCTGCACATCTCTCCCCCAGCGTCACGGTCCCACTTTCCACCAACTGCCCCACATAACGCCATCACAGCTGGAGCTCAAGAGTTAACCACGGCCTCATACCTCTGTGTCAGCACACTCTGCTGCTCCACTCACTCAGCCCTGAGCCCCTTTCATTTCCGATTGGCCAATCATGGTGACACCATCTGATGGTGTGACATATATGCACTAAGTGGCTGGTCTTTGTTTACCTGTCGAAGAATCAGGGCGTCCTGCTAGTAGGAGAAGTGAAAGTCATGAGGCGAGCGCAAGAAAGTGAACACACGACAGACAGTCATAACACTAACTGTGCTCTTTTCGTTCCCTCACCTATGCACTATTAATTCATTTTCAATAAGGGATGAATCATGTTGCACATCAGTGGTCAGATGAGTGATTGGAGGAGAGGACCGAGGTTGACTGTCACCGTAGGGATGAAGCTGTGTTAACGTCTTGGCCCCTAAACATGACACATTCTCAGGCACAAGCATGCACACAAGCACCCTATTATCCATCAACAGCAGTGCGCGCACAGCATCAGCTTCAGTTTATTAGCTTTAATTTTGTTTTTCTTGCAATTTCTTTCAGATTTGGTTTTGGGTTTGTATCACCTGGATTGTTTTGCACCTTCTCTTGCATGTCATGCCATCATGCGTTTCTGTAGTTTGCAGTTATTCATTAAGTAGCACATTCAGACTTTAGCAGCAGTTTCTCAAACTTCTCACAAATGGACAGCACAGTGGCAACAGCTCATCACATGCATCCCTTGCATTGCTTCATGCTGCATCCCAGTCACATCAACATCCAGAAAACACACACACAAATGCATACACGTATAGAAAATGCACACTAAAACCACCGGCAACCTGAATAAAAGGGAAGCCTTTTAAACTTAGTTCTCCAAACTGCCTTTGTTAATGGTTTTTCATTCATTTAAAGGTTGTCTTTTTAATTTGAACTATTTTTATGTAAATGTTCACATTAGAGTCGCTGTTATTTTCATCATGACACAATCCAACTCACAAAAGCTGACCTCACAAAATAACTGGACTGCCGGGCTATTGGTTCTGTTTTGCAGGGATAGTAAACCGGGCTGTGAGAGGACTTTCTGGGTCTCTATAGAAACATTAGCTCTATGTACAGCAAGTCTGCGACAATATATGGAAGTGCCTCTGTATTCCCTCCATGCAATTAGTAATTAACTTGACTTCAGGTTCTATTCCCGTATATAAGCTAAGGCTACAGGGAACGTTGGTGTTGGTGCATGTGGAAATCTTTGGCCCAGGACGGATGTTCATAGAGGACTGCAACCATTTTTTTTCTTATAAAGACAGAGAAATAATATACATATATATTTATGATGAATGCTTCTTTTCCACTTTTACTCCTCAAGCTTGTTGGCAGTCTAGTTATTTTCTGAACTCTTACCCCCCGCCCCACACAATCCGTTTCAGTAAGATCGCCTTGCTGTTTCGAATCAAAACGACACACACCATCGCCATCTGCATTATAATACCTAGATGATCATGTTAAAAAAAAAGAATCGACCGTAGGTTTGAAGAAAAGTGTTTGTTTTTGATGGAAAGTATTATTATTGAAAATAATGTGTCGATTGAGCCACGTGCAATGCATTGGGTAGATCATTGTGTTTGTCTGTTAGAGATTTTTAAGAAAGCTACG